TACTGTGGTGGATTTATTATATTGTACAGTGTATAATTCAACAGGGGAACACACAAAGGTGGTGGGTACACCAAAAACTCAGAGCTTAACAAAAATTGGTTCAGAAATCATTGCAAGGTGATCTTGCTGCTGAAATATCCACAATCATTAAAAAGTCAGGGCTGACATAGCCCACCAGGCTCCACATATAAAGTATCACTTTTGGGTGGATTGAGTATAATTTAGCCCTTACACTGAAGTTGCCATGAACCAGGCAAGTTGTTACTGAAGGGTTAGTCAAACTAAAAGATGGATTTCCGTTACAGACACAATCTCCCCACTATATTTCCTAACTTGGTTTCTATCCTCCGTGTAGGAGTCTTACCCCTCCTACAACAACAGGTATACTGCTGTGTGTTACCATCCTTGCTGCATTCCCTCTATTTTAAAATCAAGTTACAACCTTACAGGGATAGAGTAGAGAAGTATTAAAATCCCTGGAAAGTTTTTATTGCTGTCCATGTCTTACCCTGTCATCAGAATGGAAAGGGATGGAAATCTAAAATTCTTGTAGTTGTCACCAAAAGAGGAGGTAAGAGACAACCTTATGATGGGGCAACCTGTTCCGGTGAGAAATAAAATGCAAGCTCTTTTCATTTTGGAGAGATTTTTTTCTTTCTTGCTGTATGTTTTCAGAAAAAGAAGTGAAGGAAAATCATCTCTATGGGACACAGACATAAACAGAAATAAAAAATCAAAGTTTCATACTCTATCCAAAGCTATTTAAAACATGTTTTTTGCATTTTTTTAAATGTGTGCAGGGTGACATACCGTGCAGAGCCCCCAACAGCTCTGCATATGAACAGCCACCTTTCACCCCTTACAAATAGCCCAACCTTGTGATGAAGGATGGCCTAAGTTAAAAAATAGTGGGGGTGGGAGGAGGAGCTGGGGCTGAGAGTGACTTTGGGGAATATTATTGCTTTTTGAATGTAAGTGCTTCCTGGGCATCAGGCAACCAAGAAACTCTTTAGGGTATGGGACCTTATATACAGTAATACCCTGGTTTACGAGCATAATTCGTTCCGGAAGCATGCTTTTAATCCAAAGCGCTTGTATATCAAAGCGAATTTCCCCATAGGAAATAATGGAAATTCAGATGATTCGTTCCACAACCCAAAAATATTCATATAAAAATGATTACAATACTGTACTGTAATATATTACTGTACAAAATATAAAGAAAAATAAACCGATTACCTGTACCGATATGGTTAGTGTGAGGGGGACAAGAGAGAGGAGGATTATTGTATAGGACGACTTTCACTATCACTAACGGAATTACTGCTATCTCTTGACTCATTTCGTGAAACCTTAACAAGGAATCTATCCAATGGGACATTGCATTGTCGTTTAAACAGACTCATCGCTTGCACTGCTGCAGCCTTATTCGGGTGGTGCTTTTCTACAGAATTTTGCTCTTATTGCAAGACATTGCTTGTATATCAAGGCAACATTTTTCAGAAATGTTTGCTTGTCTTGCAAAACACTCTCAAACCAAGTTACTTGTAAACCAAGGTATTACTGTATATAGGTCCCTTTAAATTCCTGCATTAAAAGTCTGTCAGCTTTTTAGGACATTTAAAGTGAACATAGGTTCAATTCTAAATAATATAGTTACCCTAAAGCAGTATTTTTTATATAAAACATTATTACCCTAATTTGTATTAGGACACTGTATTAATGCTCATTTTTTGCAGGAAAACATATGCTCCTGGATTTCAGAAAATATTAAAAAGAAAGAATGCATGTATTATATGGAAAGCTCAAAAAATACCAACACAAGGTAAGCTTTTATGTACTGTTTTATTTGTGTAAATCTTCAGAAAAGAAATAGTTTTAGCACATACCAGTTAAAATGTCATACCATTTTAATGAGTTATATAAGGATAAAAAGTGAACTAATGGTGCAGGCATCAATATTAAAAAATTGTTATATCAACTGCATAAAAGGGCATCAGGCTACATTGCCTATAGTCTCCTAAATTGCATTGATCTGCATTCTAAGTGGCATCAGCAAGTGCACATCCCACTGTGAGCAAAAAATGCCAGTGCTCTCTGACCAGAACATGCACTGCGTTTACTGTCTGCAAACAAGAGAATGCCTTGTGTCTGCATTAATCAACCAGAGGTCCTGTTTGTGCAGGAAACAGTCTGCGATTGGGGCTGTCTGAATCTCACACATTGTTGCTCTTGTTTATTAGCTGGAAAATAAATTTGCTGTGCACTTTGGAAAAGATAGTGTATCAGCAGTATCTAAATGGGACTGTTTGTTGTTTTAGCACCAAATGACTTTCACATTATCAATAAACAGTCTGGAGCTGAACATTTTTTGCAACATACCTAGATGATCTTGGTTGTATTTTTCATTGAACATTTAAATAAGTGCTGTAGGCAGCGTTGCCGGACATTTGTTTTTTATATTGGTGCCAGCACCATTAATTTATTTTTTAACTTTTTATAGCACTGTAATATGGTATGATATTTAAACTGTATGGTATGATATAAAATCAACTGTTTACATATAGTATCTTGACTTTGTTGGGGGGTAAGTCATTTTGATGCAAGCAGCTGGAATATAAAAGGGAACAAGACTTTGGGCTTGATTTACTAAAGGCAAAAAGGCAGTACACTTTGCAGGGGAATTTGCACTTTGCAGGGGAAGTTACCCTTAGCCTGGTGAATGTGGTAAAATTTCACTTTGCAAAGAATACTCAATCAGGTGCAAGGAAAAAAACAGTATTTTTGCTTGCACACGATTGGATGATGGAAGTCAAAAGAACTTCATCTCATTGACTAAACTAAGGAGTAATTTCCCCTGTAAAGTGCAAATACCCTTGCAAATTGAACAGCCTATCTGCCTTTAGTAAATCAACCTTTTTGTGTATATGTGTATCAATATATATATATA